TTACTCCTCCCTCCTCTCTCTCTCTCTCTCTCTCTCTCTCTCTCTCTCTTGACCAAACAAGCAGTAATTGTTGGGTGATTGTAGCTATTGGAGGCCTTATAAATGCTTGTAATAAACATTTTAATATAATTGAACATGAACTCAGTGCGAGTGCAGTTCTTCGTGGACCACACTAAACAAATAATATTTACTGATACCAAATTGAGCTTTACGAACTAGGTCAGTCGGTTGGAAAAAACCTATGTTACATGGGTATAGAAAACTATATGATAAGGGTTTTAATAGGTCATCCCTTGATGCGGTCAGAGAATGCAAGGATAAGTGAGCCGAATGATTGTCTGGCTCCTGTGTGTGATGTGGCTGTTAGAGACGTGGGCCAAAGCCCCATCCGCGTGTCATCACATTGCATGTATATGTAATAGTCATTTCGGGAAAGCGAACCACCTTTCAGGGTGAAGTTTATGCATGTGTGAGAGATACCTCTATATGTCATATGAGATGTGGTTGCATCAGGTCTAGGTGATCTTGGTACGTCTCTAGGGGAGAACCTTAAATCCACAAACTGGGATTATAACCCCTTGCCCATTGACTAAACTTTGGTGACCCACTGATGAGCCCCTGCACGGACTGTGGGTCAAGGACAACACTGAGTCGGTTTGTCTATAGTTGAAAGTGGAGTGCCCCAATGTTTATTTATTTCATTCCTATATATGGATCTTTTTCTCATCTAATTAATTTAATTATGTTTGTTTTAATGATATATGATTTTTAAAATTATTATTTGAATTTTTCTAGATCTTTAAATATTTTATTTATCAAATTTGGATTTATAAAAACATAAATATTGATTTTAGAGTGATGTAATTATTTAAATTAAGTTTTTTGAATTTCTAAAAATCATATAATATTTTAATTAATTTGGTTATTGCATATGAGACCCAATAAGCTATATGGGCCCACCATTGCAATGTGGGTGGGGCCCATGAGTGCCACCTAGGGTGGCACGCCCCACTCCAAAAATTTTCCTTATTTTGTTGGATCAAGCTTTGGCTTGAAACAAAAGCTTTGTCATGTTTTAGAAAGCATTTTCCTTGAGGAAGCTTTGAATGGATTTTTGGAAAGCATGATGAGGTTTGTACATAATTTTGGTAAACACAATATTATAATGAAAATTATTTTATTTAATTTATAATGATGGGAAAATAGTTTAGAAAAAAAGGATAAAGGTTCTAGCACCTTCTATATGATGTTAATGGCTTATCTATAGAATAGATATTTCAAATCTCTTATCCCACAAGTCACCTAAGATCAAGGGTGCATATTCGATCTCACAATAAGAAACAAGCTATGAAAAACTCTAAGAAACCCTAATTTTATTTTTGCACTATAAAAAAAAGACCAATGCCCATAAATCTCTACACCAAATATCTCTCTTTCTCTCTAGAATTTTGGTAAGGGGCACGCCCCACTTATATCCTCTCTCTCTCTTTAAAGTAGATCTAAGGGGCACACCCCTCGTAGATGGTTTTATCTCTCTCATGTTATGTTATGTTGATCCTAAAGGGTTTGGTAGTAGTAAGTAGATGTTATCTCTCTTAAACTAGGTTTTATGGGTTACACCTAAGTTTGAGATTTGTGATCAAGAGGAGTTCATAGATTTATGATCAAGAGGAGTTCATAGATTTGTGATCAATAAGAGTTTATAGTTTCATTGGAGGGTTTGGCCTAAATTTCATTTCCCTAGATTGAGATTAAAGGTTGATCGTTGATCCCGTACCATCGGATGGTGGTGACTCGGTGTGGGGTGTAATTAGCCCGGTTGAGGTAATCTCCAACATTCTCTTTTTGTTTCTTGTCATATTTAATTATATGGTCTTTATATTCTCACGCATAAGAATTGTAGTTATTTTTTTTATTTAA